CGAAAGATTCCTTCAACAGGTGGCTAATGGAACGAAAGGTCATCGATTGCGGCTCAGATCCGCTACTACCGAGTCAATGCTTCCCTGAGATTTCAATGTCCATGTATCGCGAGATTATGAACGATATTCCTATTAAATTGGTAAGGCCGAAGTTTACGGGAGATGCGAGAAAACAATTGTCACGTTACGCTGAAGCGGCGAAAAAGATGGTAGAATCAAGGGCAGCATCGCCTGAAAGTCGAAAAGTGGTTAAGTGGAATGCGGAGGACACTTTCCAGTGGTTGAGAAGAACAGTGGGCGCCACATTTGACGATTTCCAGGACAGGCTCGCCCATCTGAAGCGACAATGTCAACCACACCTCACGGAAACCGTTAAAGCCAGCGTTGAGGGCATATGTCTGAAAATTTATCATCTGTCGACGGAATATGCGAAGAAAGTGAAAGATAAAAATAACCAAATCCTTAAAGATAATGGTCTAGGAGATGTTATACCGTTAGGAGGTCCTGTTAGCACGCAAAGAAAAGTTTGGTGTTATCCAGTGCAATTTTCCCTTCCCACACCGAGACTTCCACAGGTGGATTATCTCCCTGAGCGCGAACAAATAATGCTACGCTTTCACGGTGACACCATGTATATTAATAACACACACTTTGCTAAACTGGAACATTTATATAGGTATAACGGTTTTGACGATAAAAAGTTCGAAATGTTTCTGTCACGCGTTTGGTGTATGCTGAAACGTTATCAAACATACTTTGGAATCAACGAGGGTCAAGCAACCCAGATGGCTCTTCCGGTGACGGTTTTCGAATGCCTTCAGAGATCGTTCGGCGTTACGTTTGAATGTTTTGCCTCGCCTCTAAACTGTTACTTTCGACAATATTGTTCAGCGTTTGCCGATACGGACTCATATTTCGGATCGAGGGGACCATTCTTGGATTTTAGGCCGGTCAGCGGATCGTTTCAAGCAAATCCACCATATTGCGAGGAACTTATGGAAGCTATGGTCAACCACTTCGAGCGTCTTTTGGCTGATTCGGCAGAACCTTTGTCGTTCGTGGTATTTTTACCGGAGTGGCGTGATCCGGCTCCTAATGCGCTCATAAAACTCGAGGGTAGTCACTTTAAGCGTAAACAAGTAGTAGTACCCGCTATGGAACATGAATACCGACATGGATTCCAACATATTCTTCCAAAGTACGTTTTTTTATTCAAATTAAAGGACCCCGCATTAATTATATGGAGAATTGGTTTTGAAATCAATTAGTTTTTTTATATAATGTAGCTCATAATGTGATGAACAAAAGATATTACAGATATAAGAGTCAATAATGGATAGTTTTGAGCTGTGGTATATTAAAGGCGTAAAACACTTGTGCTCTGGGGTAAGCACCTTTAATACACCATAGTTCAAAAACTATCTTGAGTCTTATATCTATAATATCTTTTCTTCATTACTTTATAAGCTATATTATATGTGAAAACTAATTCATTTCAGTAGGATCCAATTTTCCATATAATTAATGAGGTCCTTTATACTGATTAGATACGGCATGTGTATGATATATAATATGTGAAAAAAATGTTGAATAATTGTTTTTTCTTCATTCCAGAGGTGATGTAAACATCCGAGCGGTGCACGGCACGCTAGTTGTATGGTTACAAAATCCAGCCGGTGCTGCACGGTGGGGACCTACCGAAGAGCGAGTCGAAGCGTTATTGGAAGCATGGCGACCTGGTCGAGAACGAGAAAGAGATAGGCAAGAGCTTCTTTCTCCGCCACGACAAACGCATCAACCGATACCGTCAACGCCTGTACCGTCAGTACCTGTACCGACAACACCAACTACACCGACGGTGCCATCTGTACAGCCGCTATCAAGTCATCCTATCTAATTAAGTGATACAATATAGTTAGTGATATAATCTTCGTGAAATAGAGAAAACGTATAAGTAGAAAATAGAAAAATTATTTCCTATATTTGGAGATAAATATGATTTATCTCTTGTAAAATATAACTTCTTTGTTAAGGAAAGTTATTTTATACTTTAGAGAGCAGATATAAAATTAAAAAAGAATAAAATGTAAAAAATGAAACGAGTGTTAGGTAATTATATACAGAGAAATTAAACATAACATAGAAACAATATAAGCATTACTTTATAATCAGTATTTTCATTAGGGATGCACTGGATCGTAAAATTACTGGATATCGGATATCCGAAAAAATATGACGTCGGATATCCGGATACCGAATATTTTCCGTATATCCGGTACAAATTTCCCAAAATTCTAAAAAAAAGGAAAGCATGGGAAAAATAGCGATAATGATTGACCGACTGTGGAAGAGGGTTCTTTGCAATACAATTTCAACATTGCTTAGTAATCAAAGATTAATATTAATAAAGTTTTCATGATGGACAATAATATTTTAGCATTTTTCGGTGACGATCTATTTTAATTATTGGTAAAATCCACCATAACTGTGCGAAATCATGAACTGTGCGAGAAATTTAGCTGAAAAGAATAGAATTCTGCATCAATGACACAAATTTTCAATATAAAATTTCAGCCGGATATATATATATA